AACGATGCTTATTCGTGGTTTCTGCATACGCTCCCACAGACTGTAGCTCGGATACAGTCAAAGACCCCTGCTATCACAACCTACACGAGCTTCTTATCAAAGCACCCAAGATGGATATCGTGATTCTGGTCGGAGACCTAAACGCACGCGTTGGTCGTCTGTCACCCGATGAGACCCACCTTGGTGGCCATTATGGCCTTTATATAGCCATCGTTCAAATAATGGGGATAGACTTTTCAGCATATGCTCCGAACACAGCCTGTTCCTCGTTAACACGAACTGCAGACATCCAAAGCGCCGCCTCACCACCTGGCGTGAACCCTCTTCGGCACAGATGTGGACTCAGATTGATCATATAGCAATTAGCTATAGATGGAGAGGATGTGTGAAAGACTGCCGTTTGTATTGGTCTACCTGCTTGAACTCCGACCGCGCACTAGTTTGTGCCAAGTTGTCTATGCGATTTTGGTGGCCGCAAAATGATGCGACGCAAACAGCTCAACGTCACCAAGCTTTCTGATCCGGCCATGCTAACCGACTACCAAAACGAGTTGATCTCAAGGCTAACTATCACCCCACTAAGAAGCGTAGATCAACACTGGATAACCAATCAAAAACGCAATGCCCTCAGCTAGTTTACACAGTTGTGGCCTGACCCGTCGAGTTGTAAAACACTGGGTCTCCTCCAACTCTCTCAGACTTCTTGACGTGCCTCGAGAAATCCCGGTAGACAGTGAGTATAGTGAACAGCGCCTCTTTGTGAAGCGCGCACTCACAAAAAGCTTGAGAGACGACCGAGAAGCCTGGTGGAAATTACGTGCAAAGGAGATGGAATCAACAGCTAGGTGCGGAAATACCCGGCTACTGTTCCAACTCATCCGTGCTACGAGCCCCAAAAGACAGTGCGCTAGTGGAACAATCTGCAAAGTAGACGGCACGCTAATAAAGTCTTCACGGACGCTTGGAATGCTAGGCAGCTCACTTAACATCGCAGTTTAACCAGCCCATGCTCTGGTTACCCCAAGCAGTTCTCTTGAGAATGCGCCCTGGTTAATATCCATGAGACCGACCACAGTGGCGGAGATCTGAAAGTATCTCCAAGACCAGAAACGCCACAAGGCGTTTGGATCACACAACATTCCACCAGCCCTAAATAAATATGTTGGATAAGCTCTGATAAGAAAGCTTGTGAGACTGTTCTCGAAGATCTGAGAAACCGGAAGTGTACCCCACACATGAGCAGAATCGATTGTTACAATCATCCACAAGAAGGGCTGTCGCAATGCCTGTTCAATCCACATGGGCATAGGTCTGATTCCGATAGCTTCAAAGCTACTAGAGTCCATTTTATTACGCAGGTTATGCCCATTTCGTGAGATGCAAATCCACGAGAAGCAGGCCGGGTTTCGTGAACGCCATGGTTCCATCGATCAAAGCTTCAACCCTCGACAGCTGCTGGAATACCGCCACACATACAGACGGCAAACCATTCGCGTGCTTTTGCATACCATAGCGGCCTTCAACAACATCGCATTGTGAAACTGTTTGCGGAGATACGGAGAAGTATGTCTTGCTCCTAAAAGCGCTCTACGGTCAGACCTCGGGGAATTTCGCCCTCATTTCCTGCTACCAGTGGGGTTCGACAGGGTTGCTCTATCTTTCCGTTCCTCTTCAACCTTGCCATAGACGTTGTTCTAAAAAACGCGTTACATAACGTAACGAACGCTGGCGTCGAGCTTCTTCCTGGAGGTAGAGTCGTAGACTTAGAGCAAACCGATGATATTACCTTACTCGGTGACAACGCATCGACGATTCCAAAGTCGCTGAATCGTTTATCAATTGAGGTTACTCGTTAGGGTATGCCCTTTGCACCTTCAAAGTGCAGTGTTATTGCAAGATTGGCAGGAACCCGTTCCTGCACTTTCGTTGAGAATGAACCCCTGGAAGTAGTAGAAAGTTTTGTCTATTTCGGGAGTTGCATAACTGCTGGTGGATGTGTGGGCGAGGAGATTTCTCAACGTGTGATCAAAGCTAGACTAGTGTTTGCCAATTTGCGGCCTCTCTGGCGCCGGTGCGAGATATCTCTCACTGAAAGGATGGGTGTATTTCGCAACGGTATGCGTCGTAGTGCTCTATAGCAGCGAAACCTAGCCTCTCTGAACAGATCACGTCCAACGACTATCCGTCTCGGATAGCCATTGTCTGTGCAACAACGCTCGTGTATGGTGGGAGCAGCGCGTGAATCACGATCAGGTCAGAAAACTTGTGTTAGGATCAGATAGTCTTCCTTAGGGGAAAATAATTTCACTGCCTCCGCAAACATCGTACACTAAGGAAACCTATCTGGTGACAAGTCTCAACCAGCTTAATCTATGGAACTCAACCACTTATGGTAGTGCATGACCACGATTACCTAAAGTTTTCCGCGTGACTTAGGTCCTGTTGCTCCACCAGAAATGCGAAATGCGGTGCAGACAGCAGTAATCAGTAAAAAAAAGCTTAAGCTATAGTTCTGTATCCGACTGAGTGTTAGAATTTTCTCTTATCTTACCACATACGATACAATTATTTGACCAGCAGCGATGCGAAACACGTCACTGAATTTGACGATGAGGGGATCGATGGCCTAGAATTACCACATAATGCTTTGGCCATTCGTTCTATCGCTACAACCAGAACCCTTCTTGCGGATGCCACATACGACACAGCGCGCAAATCCCTCAAACGCCAGCTCATCAAGAGTCTGAGGAATGACCACGAGAAGTGGTGGGTGGAAAAGTGTAAAGAGATGGAGAAAGCTGCGGTTATTGGTAATAGTCGTAGCCTTTTCCATCTAATTAGGTATACGGGTCCTAGGAAAATAAGCGTAAGTGAGATAATTAAGGAATCCGATGGCACACTGATTCACGATCAGGTCAGAAAACTTGTGTTAGGATCAGATAGTTTTCTGTTGCGTAAAATAATTCCACAGCATCGACTTAGTTGGTTAGGGCACGTCCCACGGATGCCTGAACAACGTCTGCCACACCGTGCACAATTCGCAGATATCGGTCCGGGTCGGAAGAAACAGCGATGCGGGCAGGCTGTGACGTGACGCAGAGGGTTAAAGAGAGTGTGCTCGGATCTGGCTTTGTTGGAGTCCCAAACATTCAGACTGTCTCTGGCTGGAGACGCTGCAGGATATGACATCGAATCGAAGTCAGTGGCATGGATATATCCTTTCCTGTGTGCAGTCCGAAAAATAAAGAAAAAAACTAGAAAAAAACTAAAAGTGGTGTGTAGTAAACAAAAAATTGTTATTCCCTTAGTCGACTGTTTTTGTCTTCCTCCGCCTCTTCTCTATTTTTCGTTCACTCACAGTTATTTTAGCAGCGTATCTGTAAAGATTGGTGTTATATATATATATG